TATTAAATTATTTATTAAATTAAACCCAAATCAAACTCTATTTATCCATCTCCACACCACACCCCCTGTCATATTTTCCTTGAGTGCGAGTGCGATAATGAATCTATGTTGAGTAAGCTTTTTATCTTTCTGTCTCCACACCGAGTTTTCCTTTTCGTGTTTTCCTTGGGTCGGTCATCCCACTTTTACAAAACGTTGGATGAATTTGAAAGGTGGGCCTTTCCATTGTGAAAATGAAAATGGGGCCATACAAGGAATTTTAATACCGTGTAAGATAAGGATTAATAATTTGTTTGCACATCGGGAATTCAATAACTAAAAAACTTTGATTTTTTTTTTCTCTCGTGCTCTACCCAGGGTTGGGGGCGACGGCTACGAGTTTCTCCCTAGGGTCTCTCTCCGGTTAGGAGTTCCTCCCTCTTCCTCCATCCTCATCGTCTGCTTTGCTTTGGAAACTTTAACCCAAGGGACCACAAGACAGCGACTCCTTTCGATCCGCATCGACTGTTGATTTTTAACGACTGTGTCTTGATACCGGGAGACTTGATCCGGTCGGTGGTTGGATTTCTCCCATCCTCTGAATCTGATTTTCACTTATGCATGTCTCCTTAGATGAGATCTTGGCAGAGGTGGCAATCGAACAAACTAGCACACTCCACTTCACTTCGGGTTCTGATCTGCATGGGAGCATGCTACTCACGATGGCAAAGGGGCTCTAGTTCCCTTAACAAAGTTTCGCCTGCAAGGGTTTTCAGAGGATCGGTAATGATGGGCACATGATTGACAGTAGTCGGTGAAAATTAGGGCGGTAACTTGTGGGTTGGGGACTGTTTGTTGCCGAAATCCCTTGCTCTCCCCATGAAGCTGGTTAAATAGGCGAGGACTTGTCCAATAGCTTCCAATGCTCATAGCGACTCTCCTTTCTACTTTAGTAACCTTATTTAGCTCATACAGCGATTGCAATTGCAATTTCTAGTTACAGATGACTCTCTTTATTTAATTGTCTATATTCGTCATGGGCATAATTTAAATCTGTTATGCTTCTAATTCTATTTTTTTAGGCTCTCATGCTCTAGGCTATATGCCATGTGATGGAGTTTTTTATTGTACTTTCTTATTATTCAATATATTTCTTCATTTTTATCAAAAAAATAATAATAATAATTTGTTTGCACATCAGTCATGCCCCACCTTGACTTCGGGCCAGGATTAATAATTTGTTGATTTGATAAGAATATGTTTACTTTTTAAAAATAAAATATTAAGTTTAAATTTTGTAAATAAAAAATAAATATTAATAAATTTTTGAAAATGATACCGTTTATCATTTACTTTTTTTTTTTCTTTTTGTTTTTTTCTTTTTGAAAATAGGCAATGAGAAAAGCAAAGTTCGGTGTGGGAACAAAAAGATTAAAAGTTTAATTAAAATAGGTTCATTATCGCACTCAAAGAAAACATATGAAGCAGAGT